AGAGAGAGAGAGAGAGAGAGAGAGAGAGAGGGGCTCAGTCCCGGGTAAATACTTTAATAAAGCAACAGTGGTCGTTATTGTTGGCAGGATTGCAACAAAGTGTTGCCTCTGAGCGTGCATTGTGGGCGTCCAGCAAATGTAGCTTCCAGGGGATATTTTCCCCGTCAGCTCCACCCCTCCCTGCCCTCTTCTGTGTTCATTTCAATCACATCTTTTTTTTTTGTCTCTTAGCCATATCGGCTTTTATTCAGAAGTCATCTGTAAAAATACATCCATACTTCCGTCACAGCTCAACTCCGGCCTCTATTGACTGGCTGGGAGAGGGAAAGCAACATTTAACCAAGGAGATAAATTGAGCCGTTTTATCGCTGTAGCTCCGTTGGTTTCTGGGGAGGCAGCGAGCGCCTCGGCCCTCAGCAGATAAAACCTGCCCCACCAGTTGTGCATCAAGCTGGACTGTGCCACTTTTTGCCCGACCATCTGCCCCGCGTCTCACTTCACTGAGCATTTTAATTGCCTCTAGACGGACCACGTTGGCCACTTGTTTAGCGCTTCCGAAAATAGAAACGACGATCAGAGAAACGAAAGGTATTCACCAGCCAGAGGCACGTTATTGTGAGGTTCACGTGAGGTCACGACATGTGTCACATGGTTTCCATCTGAAGCCCTTACAGCACTTTAAGTGCTGCACTCACTGAGCTGTGAAGGATCTTCTGATCGAGCTGGTGACTTAAGACTTTTAAAAAAGAAACAAATTTCACATCCGTCTGCGTGCAGAACAAACCGCTCTCTTCAGTGGGAGCTGGTGGGACACGTGGTCCTATTTTTAGAGTAAAGGAGTCACCTTCGCCATTAATGGAATTGGATCTACTTTGTTATTCAGCGCTATTACATTCGAGAGATAAGCATCTCCACTCTGCTGTTTGGTCTATTCCACTGCCAGGCACCGCAAACATTACACATTCATGTAAACAGACAAGCTTTTGTACGTGCAGGTAGACACACACACACACACACACACACACACGGTTGATTATTTAGCTTCATTAGAGTTGGATACGAGCTGATGACGGGGAGTGAGAGACATGTTGGACCAGGACCAATGTGTTCATTTATTCACAGATCACAGCATCAGCTAATGAGCGGTAGTAGTAGCAGTGATAGGAGATGTGAACATTTACGACCGACTCATCGGTTTGGCAGCAGTTTACCATCAGCCCAAGTTAAAGATGAAATAAATAACTTTAATATGAAACTTTTCTAGCACAATGCAATTAACATGCTCTAAAGTGAAACACTAATTAACATCACACATCTATTTGTTGTGAAATATGAGAGCAGGGTGACCGCAGGAAATGAGAGGGATGCTGATGAGGACTTTGGTCGTGTTTGCGTCGTTTGTCGTCGTCGTTGAGTGCAGCGCTGTGATTGGTGGATAAGAGGATCACACATGGTCCCGACACTTTATTCGTGAGCGGACCGACTCTGGGTAAAAATAGCTCGCACAAGGCAGTCGGACGCTAAACAGATTATTTTCTTTTGTGGCGAGGTTCTCAGGCATCTCCCTCTGAAACGTCTGCCGGCTTCTTCCTGTTTTTGTCGGGACCACCTTGTTGTAAGAAAAGGTGAGTTCACCTGTGAGAGCATCTTTGTGCGGCTGACCTTACTGCTCTTTGAGAAATGTTGAGGGCGTTTAGTGACTCTTGATCCCTTTACATCGACAACGAATTCCACTGAAAAGAGCTTTGGTAGAAGAACCCAGCTGATGCCACTACTGGGTTGTACGGGGTTGGTGGTTTGATTCTCCAGCTCCTCCTGTCGGCATGTCAGAGTGTTCTTGAGCAAAACACTGAACTCCAAATTGTTCTCGAAGCGATGCGGTCCCCCGGTACATGAACATAAAGGTGTTATTTTTATTTGGATAAGCACGATATAGATGTGGTGAATTTACCATCTATAATTCGATACATCTGCTGACATCAATATTACATTTTTTTTACATATAGCAACATTTTTAGATGACCGTTCCTGCAGTTTCTCATTACTTTTTGACCATTATTAATGTGATAAAATGAAAATGATAATAATCAGTCGGGCTTGGCTTTATTGTCTAAATGGCAGAAATGTTTTCCATCATCTCACTCTGTCCAGGATTCTGACTGAACAAGTTTAAATTCAATTAAAACGACACACAGACAGTGTGGATGACATTAGGTGGGTCTACAAATCTGGACAAAACTCTACCGTGCCGTTGACACATTTGAAATATTCTGAAGGCCATGCTACACAGGCTTCAGTCACGGATAAATGTTGCTCTGATGGGGATTAACAACATGAACAAAAAACAGTGTTTTAGTAGCATGTCACTTTTTTATACTGCGAAAGTAATTCTAGTTCATTGTCAGTGTTTTTTTCTCAGAACACAACAGGTTCTTTTGATGAAGGACGATGGCAGCTGTCCACCACAAAAACAGTCGTATTAGATCAACTTCCTCAGTCGACTGTAAAAAGCTCCGCGGGAGGCATTTGGCTGCAGTTGGTGGTCAGTGGCTTTCCAGCTGTAATCATAAAGAATAGGTTTTTGTGGTGTGCATTTCTGTGTTCTTCACCAGGTAAATCTCCAAATGACTGATAAGCTTTCCCTCATTCCAGCCAAAGCGCACAGCAGGCTGCAAGTGGAAGACGTGCTCAGCGGCGCTAACAATGCCGCCGAGCCATTTTTTAGGAAAAACTTAAAAGCGGAAATGTTCCCCACATGCTGACAAGTGTCTGTTGAAGGAAAATAAACAGCAATGATTCAAAATGTCAAAGTGTCCATTTAAGGGAGCGCCACGCTGTTATGTGCTCAGTTGTTTGGGTCCGGTTCAGCGCCGGTAGGAGGTAAATCTAAATAGCAGTTTGGCTTGTTAGACTTTGGAGAAGTTAGATGAGGCGTTGGCGATGCTCCATAGAGCCAAACATGTGCTCATTACAGCAAAGCTAGGACGGACAAACAGCTGGACGCATCTCCCTCGCCCTCTGTTTCTGTGTCTCTCTGACCGACTCTCTTTTCATCCCCTCCTCTCTCCTCGGTCCTCCCATATGTCTGAAGTGTCACGGTCCACTGACCACCTCTCTCTCTTCTCTCCTCTCTTTTCTCTCGTTTCTCTCCTTTCTCCTCTCTCTCCTCTCTTTTCTTTTCTCTCCTTTCTCCTCTCTCTCCTCTTTTCTTTTCTCTCCTTTCTCCTCTCTCTCCTCTCTTTTTCTCCTCTCTTTTCTCTCTTCTCTCCTCACGTTCTCTGGCTTCTTCCTGTATGTTGCGAGACATCCAAGTCTAGTCTCATGAGCGCATGTACAGTATGTTTGGTCTGTCTGTTAGTGTGTGTGTGTGTGTGTGTGTGTGATCTCTAGTTACCCCGGAGGGTCTGTTGTCGGTGTGTGTAGGCGATCTAAAGAGCGATACTGATCTTGTGTGTCAACCTGCTCCCGTTAAACACACATTAGAACGTCCTGCAGCACAGGAGCGTCTCTCAA